GTGCTCAGGTACCGCCCAGTGACACCCAGACCCCATCAGGGCTGGAAAAGGAAATGACCAGTGCTGCACACCAACGCCTGTGTGCCTATTGCCGGAGCCGCGCGCTGCCCGACTCCGCAGAAGCGACAGGAGAGGCCACCTGGAAAGCGTCGGCTTCTTCTCCATACAGGAAAATAAAGGAAGTGAAGAGAGCATGCAAATCTGCCTCTCCATCAAATTTGCACTTCGTTCCTCTGAAGGCACACTGGGAACAATGGAAGAGAATAGGAAAAAGCAATTTGCTTCAGAGAGAATTCGAAACTAATGAGCATCAGCTGAAGGAGACGAATTCAGCAACCTGCTACAGAGAAACACGCTGGAGGGAAACACACGCTGAAGCACCACGCCAGTTAGATGTTCAGACCCGAAGTTACAAGACACCAGCACCAGGGAAGGGATTTCGTACGGAGACAAAGGCTTTGCCAGGTCCCCACAGCGGCCAGGGAAGCACCAATCCTTTGCCTTCCACACAAGCCAGCACCGGGCACTTTTGTTCTAAACCCCGTGATTTCTAGGAGCATCCTGCATTTGTACGGTGCCACAACAATCCCTCTGCCCCGGGGAAAGAGCAGGCCCGGTTCGAACGGCCAAAATACAAACGACGTGCTCAGCGAAACGCAGCTGAGCGTGACCAAACCCGGCCATCGCTCGGAGAAGCGCGCGGCTGCGTCCACCTCGCTCGGAGCGGCTGGAAGTAAATAACGCACTGACAACGGCCCCGAAAACTAAAAAATAGAAAAGCTTATTAATTTCTTTTATTATGTTAGTGTGCACCTGTCAACCAACGCGTGTTTGTTTTCCAAACAAATCCAGCCCTTTATGGCTATACATCGCGGCAGCAAAGCGATGACAAAAGATACTGGCTTCCAACAGAACACCGAGGGTTGGGAGGACACTAACAACTGGGAACATCAGAAGCTTTCCCAGGAGCGTCCAAGTTCCATTCCCCCCTTCCCCCCCACTCTCCTTTGGCCCAGACATGAAGAAACCAGGTGGGGGGGGACTCATGGCGCTGACTCCCTGAACGCTGCTGACTGCGGACACCTTACGCTTCCAGCACAAACACGTTAGCGCTTGACACGACCTTAATGACCGCCGGGTTATAATTAAGGCTTCATCAGGCGGCAACGGCTTTGTCAAAACACAACCACGCAGACCTCGGCTTTGGCCAAGCTGGTGTCAACACCTGGATCTGCTCAGGTGAGCAAGAGGAAGGTGAGGCCCCCCCCCCCCCCTCAAGCCACATTACCAGGCTGCTGACTCCCAGTAACCACCCCGGGGATTTCGGCGAACGTCCCAGTGTTCATGTTCAAAGGAACAAGTCTGACACAGTGCCGGCACTAATGGTGAAGCCTCCCAGCCCAGCGTCCAACTGGAAACAGCGAAGGTGGCCCATAACCACTGAATTATGGACGCTCCCGCACGCCTGGGCTCTGCTAAGTGTTTATCAGGAAAAGCGCAGGCACGGCCGGCCGCGTTCCTCCTCCGTCGGAAGCAGAAGGTGTTTCACACACACAAAGGTGCTCGGGCCAGCCCGGCTGTTCCTGGCACACGCTGTTGGCACTGCCGTGTCAATATTTAAAAATCAAAGCCACGCACCAGGCAGGACCAGCTCAGAAAGCACCGGCCGCGTTTCTCC